GATTACAGGCCTGAGCCACCACGCCTGGCCTGCTTTTTAATATCTTTTTGATCATTCTCTTGGAATGTAATCCTTAAAGTGAGATTACCAAGTCAAAGGGTATAGAAGATTTAAATAACTTCTTATATGTACTAGCAGATTATTCTCCAGAAAATTTGGACCCATTTGCATTGCCATAAGGAGTGTCTGGGTGTTCTTATTTTCATTATAGTTTTTCACAGAATAGGAGCTATCATAGTAAACTATTTTAGAATATTTTACATCATTAAATTTTTATATTTAACATTAGTTTCTGGAAATTATTTGTTGACTTGTTTGGCAGCTCTTAGTGAAAATGTTACAATAAAATAAAGTGTGAGCTATACATCATAGGACTAGAATTTTCTCTTCCCTTTTAGCCTACTTAACTGCAAATTGATGGCTTAAACAGATAATAATGGAGGGAAAATGCCCTAGATAGGTCTTGTATAAAATTATCTTTAAGGGGTAAGCTTTTAATATTTGGAACATGTTGATTATTTTTTCAAGTCTTAAATTTAAAGCTTGACTACATTTAAATGAATGGATCATTTGAAAATGGGCTACATGTTGTACTCTTGTTCCAAGCCCCTGTAACTAAAGAGACTGGTAGAAGTTGTGGGACATTTTCTGTCCAAATGTAAGGGTCCTCAGGGGTATGGGACTTTGTCTTTCTTGTTGACTCCTGACTTTCCAGAGCCCAGCACAGTACCTCGGATATCTGAGGCACCTAATAAACAATTATTGATCAAAGGAAGCCGACATAGGTTGATGCAGAAGGTAATTGAGAATGAATGAATTTCTCTGTGGTCGCATTGAGAATATCAGTGAGTGGATTTTTACAGAAATGTGTGGTGCATGAATTGCTGAATATTTGACCTCTCATACAGATGTGTGAGATGCCAGTAAACACACCAGAAAATCCCTGGAAAGTGAGTCGTGAAGAGGAACAAAAACGTAAAGACTTGAGGAAAAGCCATCTCGTATTCAGCATTGACCCCAAAGGTTGTGAAGATGTGGATGACACACTCTCAATCAGAACCTTAAATAATGGCAACCTGGAACTTGGGGTCCACATCGCAGATGTAACACACTTTGTGGCACCAAATTCTTATATTGATATTGAAGCTAGAACAAGGTAATGCTATTTGAAATCAGCTCTATGGTTGTATATATGTGACTGTGCATTTTGTGTCTGTACTAGTTTCAGGTGTTCAAAGATCTCATGTTTGTGTAATTCTGAAGGTCCCTTCCAGAAAAAAAAAAAAAAAAATTGAGGTCCACTCCGCATTTTCGTTTAGAAAAACAGTACCTTGATCAATTTACCTTTCCTTTTAACATAACCTTTTCACATATTGTTTCCTACTAAACTGAAATGGGTTAAATTTTCATGTAGTAATATACTATTTTATAAAAATGCTGGATCATTACACTCCAATTTTTCTTATGCAACAAAGATTCACTGTCACTTGCTCTTTCTTTCTCTTATCAGTGGAAGACTATTCAGCCCAAAGCAGTATCACTTAGAAAAATGGGACCATGGGAATAGTTTTATTACCCAGTCTGCTGCACTTTATGAAACAGCAACAGCCTTGGGGAATCTGTAGTGAGATTTTGGCCATTTACCTCCCTGCGGCCCACACAGTCAGCAGTTCTGCTTCTCCCTGCTGAAGGTCGTGGTGCCGCGTGTGTGTCATTCACAGGGCCACCACTTATTATCTAGCAGATCGTCGCTATGACATGCTGCCTTCCGTCCTCAGTGCCGATTTGTGTTCCCTTCTGGGAGGCGTTGATAGGTGAGTTTATGGCTTTTGTCTTCAAAGCTTGTCCTGGCCCTTCTGTGGCTCCCGATGCTGCCTGCTTCTGGCCTCATTTTTCTTCTCTGCTCTGCCCCACCCCAGCCCTGGGTCTCCCCTCTGATCTCTCAACACCACCCCTGACCCCAACCCCACACCACTTATCTTTAGGCAGCTTTATTTCTCCAGCCTTCCCTACCCTTCCCCTCCTCTCTTCTGTCTGCTAGCAGTGGGGCTGCATCTCCCTCTGTTACTGGCTTTTTAAAGTCAGCTAAAATCTGAGAACAAATGTGTGTAGCTTTGTGCTTATGCATTGCCCGGATGAAGTTGTTTGGCATGAGGATCATGAACTTGGGGAGTTTTTTGTTTGTTCATTTGTTAAGGTTAAAATTTATGTTTCTCTTTGAATAGGTAATAGAATCATATAGGCCCAAACTCATATATCCCAAGAGGTATTTAATGAAAGATTCCTCCCTATCACTTTCCCTCATTTACCAGTTCCATATTAGTTTTTCTAGATATATTACACACACAAATATGCATATGTGATCTTTGTTTTTTACACAAATGGTTGCATTATATATATACTGTTTAGCACCTTCCTTTTTTAAAAAAACTTACTGGTATCTTAGAGATCATTCCGTATTAATAACAGTTGCACTATCTATGGAAATTTTGATAGTTTCCCGTATTTTGGTTTTACAAACAAAGCTGTACAGAGTTAACTTTGAACATAAGTCATTTCACATTTTCATTTTTATTTTTATTTTTGGAGACCGAGTTTCACATATTGCCGAGGCTGGTCTTGAACTCCTGTGCTCAAGTGATCCTCCCGCCTTGGCCTCCCAAAATGCTGGGATTACAGATGTAAGCCACCACGCCCAGCCCATTTCACATTTTTAAAAATACAGTATATATGAAAGAGAAATTCCCATATTTGATTATGGGATCTCTGTGTCAAGAGTATGTGCATTTGTGTTTAGATCAGTATAATCAAATCGCCCTCTTTAAATGTTCCACCAATTATGTTCCTGTTGCCAATGTATGAGAGTGCGTATTTTCCCACAGCCTTGCCAGCACAGTATGTTGTATTTTTTTATCTTTGCCAATTTGATAAATGAAAAATGGTATCTTAGATTGGCTTTAATTTGCATTATGAATAAAGCTAACCATTTTTTGTATGTTTAACAGTCACTTAGGTATCCCTTTCTGTTAACTACTTTATATTCTTTGCCCATTTTTCTTTTGGATTCAAGATCAATTACTAATCAATTTGTAAAAGCTCTTTACATATTAGGAAAATTAGCCCTGTGGTTTTTTTTGAGTTCCAAATGTATACTTTTTTAATAAAATGACTTGGTGGCAAAGAGTTTTTTTTGCTAAATGAAATTTTTGCTAATTTAGCCATCATCAAGACTGATATCACAGTTCAGTGTCATCCTGTAGGATTTGCAAGACTTTGCTCTAATTTACTGAGCTAAAAAGACGACTCTATCAGTGTCATGCTTTTCTAATCAAAATGGAGGACATGACCGGGCACGGTGGCTCACGCCTGTAATCCTAGCACTTCGGGAGGCTGAGGTGGGTGGATTGCCAGAGCTCAGGAGTTTGAGACCAGCCTGGGCAACACAGTGAAACTGTGTCTCTACTAAAATAGAAAAAATTAGCCGGACGTGGTGGTGCGTGCCTGTAGTCCCAGCTACTCTGGGGGCTGAGGCAGGAGAATCACTTGAACCTGGAAGAGGTAGGTTGCAGTGAGCCAAGATAGCACCACTGCACTCCACCCTGGGCAACAGAGCGAGACTCCATCTCAAGAAAAAAAAAAAAAAAATGGAGGACATAAAGTAGGGTTTGTAATGTCACATATGAACTCATTTCAAATTTGTTCAGAGCTCAACAAAACCCAGTCTAACTGTTGTTTTAATTTAAAATATTTTTTGATTTAGTTGTAAGGTGGTTGGATTGACAAATCAAACCAGAAACCTGTAGCTTTGTAATTTTTTTTAAGTTACAGTTAGGTCAAATTCTACTTGCTTCAAAAATAGAAGACTTAGGTGGGGCATGGTGGTTCACACCTGTAATCCCAGCACTTTGGGCAGGAGAATTGCTCAAACCCAGGAGATTGAGGCAACAGTGAGCAGCAATCATGCCATTGCACTCCAGCCTGGGTGACAGAGCAAGACCCTGTCTCAAACAAAACAAAACAAAACAAAAGCCAGATGAATTTAATAGTGATATTGTCAATGTTACTGTTTTTGTAGGTATGCTGTAAGCATCATGTGGGAACTGGATAAAACCTCTTATGAAATTAAGGAAGTGTGGTATGGCAGAACCATTATTCGATCAGCATACAAACTGTTCTATGAAGCAGCCCAAGAACTACTGGATGGAAATTTTAGTGTTGTTGATGATATTCCAGAATTCAAAGACTTGGATGAGAAGAGCAGACAAGCCAAGCTGGAGGAGTTAGTGTGGGCAATTGGAAAGCTGACCGACATAGCTCGCCATGTCAGAGCTAAACGAGACGGATGTGGTGCCCTGGAACTGGAAGGGGTAGAGGTTCGCATACAGCTAGATGACAAAAAAAACATTCATGACCTCATCCCCAAGCAGCCCCTGGAAGTCCATGAGACAGTGGCTGAATGCATGATCCTGGCCAACCACTGGGTCGCCAAGAAGATCTGGGAGAGCTTCCCTCATCAGGCCTTGCTGCGCCAGCACCCTCCTCCACACCAGGAGTTCTTTTCAGAACTCCGGGAATGTGCTAAAGCCAAAGGCTTCTTCATAGATACACGGTATTCCTCTTTTGAGGGGGCAGAGCAATGGAGGGGCATGCTGTATATTTATTTATCTTATAGTTGTTCTTAAAATGTGACAGCCAGATCTTTGACCAAAAAGAGAAAACAGATTGTTGGCTCTCTGCATTTTTGAAGACACACTTTTCTCTCTTCATTGTTATGTATAGAGACTTAAAACATGTTTATTTAGGCATAATTTTGTTCCTTGGTTTTTTATTTCATTTTTTTTTTTAGATAGAGTCTTGCCCTGTCACACAGGCTTGAGTGCAGTGGTGCGATCTCGGCTCACTGCAACCACCACCTCCCAGGTTCAAATGATTCTCCTGCCTCAGGCTCCCGAGTGGCTGGGACTACAGGCACACGCCACTATGCCCAGCTAATTTTTTTTGTATTTTTAGCAGAGACAGAGTTTCGCCATGTTGGCTAGGCTAGTCTCGAGCTCTTGACCTCAAGTGATCCACTTGATCACTTGGGGGCCTTGGCCTCCCAAACTGCTGAGATTATAGGTGTGAGCGACCACAATGGACATTTAGGCATAAAGTTTGATCCACTACAATTTGGGTTTTTTTTGTTTGTTTGATTGGTTGGTTGATTGGTGTTTTTTTGTTTGTTTGTTTGTTTATTTGTTTATAGAGTCTCGCTATGTCAGCCAGGCTGGAGTGCAGTGGCACGATCTTGGCTCACTGCAACTTCCACCTCCCGGGTTCAAGCGATTCTCTTGACTCAGCCTCCCGAGTATATGGGATTACAAGCGCGTGCCACCACAATCGGCAAATGTTTGTATTTTTGGTAGAGACAGGGTTACACCATGTTGGTCAGGCTGGTCTCAAACTCGTGAGCTCGTGATTCACCCACTCAGTCTCCCAAAGTGCTGGGATTATAGGTATGAGCCACCGTGTGCGGCTGGCCTGCCATAATTTGCAATACAGAAGTAGGGAACCTGTTAGTTACCCTTGATTTAACTTCATCTACCCCTTAAGTGATGAAGAATTAATCCTATTTATTTCAATAATTTCAAAATGCAGCATCTTTGTGACAATATTGTAAGATACTACATCAACAGTGAATTTATACCACCCTCCACTGAATGAGACATTTTTACTCCCTATCTCTAGAATAAAATACTTCTTTCATTAAAAACTAAGTATAGGCAAGCCGGGCACGGTGGCTCATGCCTGTAATCCCAGCACTTTGGGAGGCTGAGGTGGATGGATCACGAGGTCAGGAGATTGAGACCATCCTGGCTAACACAGTGAAACCCCATCTCTACTACAAATACAAAAAATTATCCGGGCAAGGTGGTGGGCGCGTGTAGTCCCAGCTACTCGGGAGGCTGAGACGGGAGAATGGCGTGAACCCAAGAGGCAGAGGTTGCAGTGACCTGAGATTGCGCCACTGCACTCCAGCCTGGGTGACAGAGCAAGACTCTCTCAAAAATATATATATAAATAAAAACTAAGTATAGGCTGGGTACAGTGGCTCACCACCTGTAATCCTAGCACTTTGGAGGCTGAGGCAGGCACATCACTGGGGTCAGGAGTTCGAAACCAGCCTTGCCAACATGGTGAAACTCTGTCCCTACTAAAAATACAACAATGAGCCAGGCGTGGTAGTGCACTCTTGTAATCCCAGGTACTCGGAGGCTGAGGCACGAGAATCGCTTGAACCTGGGAGGCGGAGGTTGCGGTGAGCCAAGACTGTGCCACTACACTCCAGCCTGGGTGACAGACTGAGACTCTGTCTCAAAAAATATATATATATATATATACACACATATATATATTGTTTTTTAAAATATTTTATTGTCAAGTAACAGGTACTAATTAAAATATCTTTTATTTGTTTATCAAAATTGATTGTTTTTTAACTTGGACAACATGGTGAGACTCCATTTTTTTTTTTTCTTTGGGACGGAGTCTCGCTGTGTTGCCAGGCTGGAGTACCATGGCACAATCTCACTGCAACCTCCACCTCCCGAGTTCAAGGGATTCTCCTGCCTCAGCCTCCCAAGTAACTGGGACTACAGGCGCCCGCCACCACACCCGGCTGATTTTTTTGTATTTTTGTTAGAGACAGGGTTTCACCATACTGGCAACTCCTGACCTTGTGATCTCCCTCCTCAGCCTCCCAAGTGCTAGGATTACAGGCGTAAGCCACCACGCCCAGCCTCTTTTTTTTTTTTTTTTTTTTTTTTTTTGCTTCTGCCTTCCGGTGCTAGTATGTTTGTTTGTTAGTTTGTCACTGTGTGAGCTGTCTGCATGCCAGGCACATGGGACAAGGGCTTTCAGACATCCTCGTGGTTAATTCTTAATGCTGAGGTGATGGCAGCATCATTCATGTTTACAGATAAGTCAATTAAGTCTGAAGAGATTAAGTAATTTGCCTGTAATTTAACAGTCAGTCAGGACAGAGCCAGGATTTGAACCCACCAAGTCTGTTAAACTTGAAAGCTCACATAGTGACCACTTAACACCTTGCCTCTCTGTTTATTATCATGCTCTATTTCTCCTTTCCCCCTTTTCCCTTAGCCAGCCACAATATAGGACTGAATTATATGTTGTATTATTAGTTTTATTTTTAATATACCTCTGTATTTCCTGGGGCTTTAAAATTATTATTTTGAGGCTGTATGCAGTGGTTCACACCTGTAACCCCAGCACTTTGGGAGACTGAGGCAGGAGTATCACTGAAGGCCAGGAGTTCAAGACTAGCCTGGGCAACAAAGTGAGACCCTGTCTCTACAAAAAAATTATTTTCAGAATAAATAGAATGCTTACTACCTCTTTAAAAAAGAAAAACTAATTTAGGTTTCTTTTACTTGTACACCAAGTCCATTATTTTACCTATATAGAATGTTTAAGGTTAAGGATGTAAAGAATTCAATTCAACGAGTATTTGACCACCCATTATGGCCAAGCACTAACTTAGTCTCATGTTACAATCAGTACATGATTCATTTCTACTTAAGAAATGTATTTAAATTCTGACACTCTTGCTTTGTTTAAACTGCAAAGCAAACTAGATTTCTGTATTTGAAAAGAGGTGCTTCTGAAATGTGTCCAAAATAAATTTACTGGCAGATGAAGGTATTCAGACGGATGACTGAAGGGTTCCTCTCAAAGTGTTGTCTTGTAAATTACTGTCTGGGACTAGCTAACGATTTTTCTGTTCTTTGTCAGGTCCAATAAAACACTGGCTGATTCTCTGGATAATGCGAATGACCCCCACGATCCCATTGTGAACAGGCTGCTGCGCTCCATGGCCACGCAGGCCATGTCCAATGCTCTGTATTTCTCCACGGGATCCTGCGCGGAGGAGGAGTTCCATCATTACGGTGAATCATACCATGTTCCTATGTGTCGCTATAACTTTGTGCTAGTTATTTTTAAAGATCTTTTGTTTATTTTGATCTTTTGCTTTCTTTTTGAAGGTCTTGCATTAGATAAATATACCCACTTTACTTCTCCAATAAGAAGATATTCAGATATTGTAGTACACCGCTTGTTAATGGCAGCCATTTCAAAAGATAAGAAAATGGAAATTAAGGGAAATTTGTTCAGCAACAAAGATCTTGAGGAATTATGCAGACATATCAACAACAGAAACCGAGTAAGAGAGAATTTCAAAATTCTCTTACCTATCATCTCTTGCTAAGAAAATGTCAGCTCTATTGTGTAGTACAGTGAAGTATCATACATTCTAGCAAATTAAATTCTAGAATTATTTTAACCAGTGCTTTCAGAACGTTTGTAGATGTTCTCAGGTAACTTGTGGATTTGGGAGATTTGACAGTAGATTATTAGATTTTTTTTTTTCCAAAAGGCGGAAATGTAAAGATTCAAGCAACACATAAAGATATGATGACAGAGGTCAGGCGCGGTGGCTCATGCCTGTAATCCCAGCACTTTGGGAGGCCAAAACAGGCCGATCACTTGAGGTCAGGAGTTTGAGACCAGCCTGACCATTATGGTGAAACCCCGTCTCTACAAAAACTACAAAAATTAGCCGGGTGTGGTGGCATGTGCCTGTAGTCCCAGTTGCTTGGGAGGCTAAGGCAGGAGAATCGCTTGAACCCAGGAGGTGGAGATTGCAGTGAGCCGAGATCGCACCACTCCACTCCAGCCTGGATGACAGAATTGAGACTGTGTCTCAAAAAAAAAAAAAAAAGATATGAAGACAAACACCTCACCTGTTATCTTACCACTCAGAGCTAATAATTAATGATTCTAGACACTGCTAACATTTTTATTTATAAAACTATCGGCCAGGCGCGGTGGCTTGCGCCTATAATCCCAGCACTTTGGGAGGCTGAGGTGGGCAGATCTCAAAGTCAGGAGATCGAGACCATCCTGGCTAACACGGTGAAACCCCATCTCTACTACAAATACAAAAAATTAGCCAGGCGTGGTGGCGGGCGCTTATAGTCCCAGCTACTCAGGAGGCTGAGGCAGGAGAATGGCGTGAACCCGAGAGGCGGAGCTTGCAGTGAGCCAACATCACACCACTCCAGCCTGGGCGACAGAGCGAGACTCTGTCTCAAAAAAAAAAAAAAAAAAAAAAAATCATACCATGCCTGCTGTTTGAAATCTGCTTTTTTCATGTAACCCAACTGTTATAGATAGCACAGCATGTTACATCATTGTTTTGGAGCTGCTTTCTATTCTATTTCATATTACTAGTTGCTACAAGATTGCACAGCATAGAACTAGACCACTGGGTAATGCAGGAAATTGGAAACTAAATCTTTAATGTAATTTTCTATATCCAATGGTATAGCTGTCTGCTGTGCAATGTTGTAGCACTAGCCATGTGGGCTACCTAAATTTAATTAAAATTAGAAGTTGAAATTTGGTTCCTCAGTCACACTGACCACACTGCACATGCTCAGTGGCCACTTGTGGTTAGTGGCTACATATTAGGCAACACAGATAGAGAGCATTTCTATCATTGCAGAAAGTTCTGTTGGGCAGCACTGTTCTAAGCAATCAAATTTACAACCATCCTCATGGATACACTTATACAGACATTTCAGATGATTGTCTGGAAAAATTCCTAGAAATGGAATTGCTGAGCCGAAAGGTGTGCACGCATAAATGAAATTTTGATAGGCCGGGTGCAGTGGCTCATGACTGTAATCCCAGCACTTTTTGAGGTCAAGGCCGGTGGATCACTGAGTTCAGGAGTTCGAGACCAGTCTGGCCAACATGGTGAAACCCCGTTACTACTAAAAATACAAAAATTAGGCTGGGCGCGGTGGCTCACGCGTGTAATCCCAGTACTTTGGGAGGCTGAGATGGGCGGATCACGAGGTCAGGAGGTCGAGACCATCTTGGCTAAAATGGTGAAACCCCATCTCTACTAAAAATACAAAAAATTAGCCGGGCGAGGTGATGGGCGCCTGTAGTCCCAGCTACTCGGGAGGCTGAGGCAGGAGAATGGCGTGAACCCGGGAGGCGGAGCTTGCAGTGAGCCGAGATCGCGCCACTGCACTCCAGCCTGGGTGACAGTGCGAGACTCCTTCTCAAAAAAAAAAAAAAAAATTAGCCAGGCATGGTGGTGCGCGCCTGTAATCCCAGCTAATCGGGCGGCTGACACAGGAGAATCACATGAACCCGGGAGTGGAGGTTGCAGGGAGCCAAGATCACACTATTGCACTCCAGCCTAGGCGACAGAGTGAGACTCCATCTTCAAAAAACAAAAAGAAACTTTGATACATATTACTAAATTGTCTTCCTTATCAGTAGTGCTAATTTAGACTTCCACCAATAGGGTTTTCGTAGGACAGGTTTGAAAAGAAAGGCTGGCTGGGCGGGGTGGCGCACACCTGTAATCCCAGCACTTTGGGAGGCCGAGGTGGGCGGATCATGAGGTCAGGAGATCGAGACCATCCTGGCTAACACGGTGAAACCCCATCTCTACTAAAAATACCAAAAAAAAATTATCCGGGCGTGGTGGCGGGCACCTGTAGTCCCAGCTACTCAGGAGGCTGAGGCAGGCGAATGGTGTGAACCCAGGAGGTGGAGCTTACAGTGAGCCAAGATCGCGTCACTGCACTCCAGCCTGGGCAACTGAGCGAGACTCCGTCTCAAAAAAAAAAAAAAAGAAAAGAGAAGAAAGAAATGGCAAGTAAGACATATGTGATACTTTTCCTGTACCCAAGGTGGACATGACTCAAATTTGCTGACCTCTAATTTCATGAACTAAAAATGGGTTTCATTTTATAAAATAATTCATTTTCTAAGACATTTTTGAAGAGATAATACTAGATAGTTAAGTTCCCACAAAAAGTAATTTAATTTCATAATAGAGAACAATTTTTATGTTAATAGTTTTACAGAATCTCACATTTGAATGAATATGAATTTCATTTCTTCGGGGAATGCCAGGGGAGTGTTATAATACTTTGGAGTTGTGCTTCTTACAGGCAGCACAGCATTCTCAGAAGCAGTCTACTGAGCTCTTCCAGTGCATGTACTTCAAAGACAAAGACCCTGCCACCGAGGAGCGTTGCATATCTGATGGAGTTATTTATTCAATTCGAACAAATGGTGTGCTTGTATTTATACCCAGGTATGTTACATCTAATGCAATGGTGCATAACAAATCATCGGTAAAAGTGTAGAACACAAACTGTACATAGATACAATTTATTAAGATATTTAAGCAACTAGTTATATGTACATAATGTAACATATGATTCAGTATATAAATGTGAAGATTGGAGGCCAGGGGTGGCTCACGCCTATAATCCCAGCACTTTGGGAGGCCAAGGTGGGCAGATCACCTGAGGTCAGGAGTTCGAGACCAGCCTGGCCAACATGGTGAAACCCTGTCTCTACTAAAAGTACAAAAATTAGCCGGGCGTGGTGACGTGTGCCTGAAATCCCAGCTACCTGGGAGGCTGAGGCAGGAGAATCACTTGAACCCGGGAGGCAGAGGTTGCAGTGAGCCAAGATCGTGCCATTGCACTCCAACCTGGGTGACAGAGCAAGAATCTGTCTCAAAAAAAATAAAGTGAAGATTGGAATGTGTGTATATATATACACATCTATGTCCATTTTAGGGTCTTTCTTATCTAACAAAACACTTTGTTTCCATCTGCTAAGGTGAAATAAATACTTGGAGGTAAACCACAGGAAAAGTAATTTGTTTTTAATCTAGGAGAAAAACTAGTATTCTAGATAAGCATACAAGATCTGTGTACTAAGAATACATTGTCTCTGGATTTATATTCTGGTCATAATATAGGTTTGGGATTAAAGGTGCTGCTTATCTAAAAAATAAAGATGGTTTAGTCATCTCATCTGGCCCAGATAGCCGTTCTGCATGGAAACCAGGATCCCTTCAACGATTTCAAAACAAAATTACCTCTACTACAACAGATGGGGAATCTGTTACGTTCCATTTGTTTGACCATGTAACCGTAAGTCTGTATTTCTATTAAGTATTATTAATATTTAAAATGTAAGGAACAAATAATGTGATTTAGTAATATGTATTTTCTTCTCTATGCTAGGTAAGAATATCCGTACAGGCCTCACGTTGCCATTCTGATACAATCAGACTTGAAATAATTAGTAACAAACCATACAAGATACCAAATACAGAACTTATTCATCAGAGCTCCCCTTTGCTGAAGAGTGAGTTAGTGAAAGAAGTAACTAAATCTATGGAAGAAGCTCAGCTTGCCCAAGAGGTCAAAGTAAACATCATTCAGGAAGAATATCAAGAATATTGCCAAACAAAGGGAAGGAGCCTATACACACTTCTAGAGGAGATACGGGACCTAGCTCTCCTGGATGTTTCAAACAATTATGGAATATGAAAGGCCCTTACTTCACTAAGAGCTGTCATATGTGAATGTTTTACAGTCTTTTCAAACTTAACATTTAATGTGTGTCACTCAGTGCTCTAGTTGATCAAGACTGGGTAACTATTTCACATATATGTAAAATGTTCTCAGCCGGGCATGGTGGCTCATGCCTGTAGTCCCAGCTACTTGGGAGGTGGAAGCAGGAGAACTGCCTGAACCCAGGAGGAAGAGGTTGCAGTGAACTGAGATCACACCACTGCATTCCAGCCTGGGCAGCAGAGCAAGACTCCATCTCAAAAAAAAGTTCTCTCATTCATTGAAGTTGCATTAAATAAAGTATAATTAGGTCACTATGGAAACTGAGTTTTCAGTAATGAATGGACAGTTAAGTGGTGGCTCTGCAGATTGCTAGCCCCTTTCTAATAGTTTAATAAACCCAAAATTATTGGTTATCTTGTCTCCAATCAGTTCTTTCAAATGTTTTATTTTTCCAGTAATTACATTTGGATCATAGGCCCCTCTGACATCTGTCAGGTAATTTTCAGTCACTTTCAGATAATAAGACTTAGTCCTGAGTCCACCTCTCTGCTTAAAACTCCTATTTCATATTTGACTCAGTCCTTCCCTGCTGTCTCCAGTACTAGTTGGGAATAGGACACAGGGCAGGTGGTAAGGTGCAGGTAAAGTTCTGTCACAGGCCTCCCTTCCCACTCTCCCACTTTGATGAGGTGCATTGGCCTTCCCCTTGTTGAAAACTCGTTACTTTGCCAGCAAACACCCCACTAGAAAAATTAACTCTTGGCCAAGCACGGCGGCTCACACCTATAATCCCAGCACTTTGGGAGGCCGAGATGGGTGGATCACAACATCAGGAGATCGAGACCATCCTGGCCAACATGGTGAAACCCCATCTCTACTAAAAATACAAAATAGCCTTGTTTGGTGGCAGGCGCCTGTAATCCCAGCTACTCAGGAGGCTGAGGCAGAGAATTGCTTGAACCTGGGAGGCGGAGGTTGCAGTGAGCCAAGATCGCGCCACTGCTGTCCAGCCTGGGTGACAGAGTGAGTCTCTGTCTCAAAAAGAAAAAGAAAAATTAACCCTTCTTTCTCAGTAGTGTAGTTTGTGAGGGTAGACAGAAGCCTGAACAGGCCCTCCTGAGGAAGCAGTTTCTATAGGCATTTGGTGGCACCTTGAAACTGCTCTCCATCTTCTAGCTGATCCCCTATTGGCTGCAGTTAGCCACAGTCCTCCTAATGTACATGTCTCTTGCCCTGTCCTCGTGGCAGTTCCCAGCAGGCCCACAAACCGACCCCCTGACCCCCATCCCAGATGTTCTCCTTGTGCTCACCTTCCTGGCTTTTCCATCAAACCATCTTTGTCACGCCCTGTCCCCACCTGGAGTCAGAAAGCCTGAAAAGAAGATGCCTGTCTGTCCTGGCTTTGTAGATGGAAGCCAGTCTAGCACCATCACTCTGCCCTTTCCCCAAGGGAAAAGAGAGTGAGAGGCCAAGTGCCATGGAAGATCACTTGAGGCCAGGAGCCCAGGACCAGCCTGGTCAACAGAGTGAGACACCATCTCTACAAAAATTAAAACATTAACCAGGCATGGTGGTACATGTGTGCAGTCATAGCTACTTGGGAAGCTAAGGCAAGAGGATTGCTTGAGCCCCAGGAGTTTGAGGCTGCAGTGAGTTAGGAGTGGGCCACTGTATTCCAGCCTGAGTGACAGTGAGACCGACACACACACACATACACACACAAATAGTGGCGGGGGGCTTGGGGTAGGGGTGAGGGAGTGGGGTGGGAGAGCCTTTCCTAACACTAACCTTTCTTATTTGTAACTACCCCCTCTATCTGGCAGGAGGAAGTCCAATCAGGTGTTCTCATGATTTGGCCCTAACGCCTCTAGTCTCAAAATCAGCATTCCTAAAATATTCCTTATCCCCTCAATCTTATTCTGTATCATGATTGTACATGTGCTTCCCAATACTGGGAATCTTCTCCATCAAAAGCAAAGTCTTTCCTATGAATCCTACCTAGATGCTATGTTCCCCATGATACTTTGCAAGTTTCACTCCAACTAGTCAGTAAGTTACCAAAAAGCATTCTTTGAACTACCCTAGCACCTATGAGGGTCAGGTAATGTATTAGCCTTTCATGTGACCTTTTAACTATTAAAGTAACTCCTTAAAAAACATGTAAAAACCTTGTATTTACCAAAAGTGTAAACTGCAGAACTAAATAGCAATGAAAAACACCCATAAAGCCTGTAGATAGTTTTTAAGAAAATTTTTACTTCTTTTAAAAAACTGACATTAATATTGAATATATGTACATCTTAAAATTTCACCCAGGCTGGGCGCGGTGGCTCACGCCTGTAATCCCAGCACTTTGGGAGGCCAAGGGGGCCGGATTACCTGAGGTTAGGAGTTCAAGACCAGCCTGGCCAACATGGTGAAACCCTGTCTCTACTGAAAATACAAAAATTAACCGGGCGTGGTGGCACATGCCTGTAATCCCAGCTACTCGGGAGGCTGAGGCAGAATTGCTTGAGCCCAGGAGGTGGAAGCTGCAGTGAGCCGAGATTGTGCCACTGCACTCCAGCCTGGCTGACAGAGCGAGACTGTCTCAAAACAAACAAACAAACAAATAAACTTCACCCAGACTATTCTGGGCACACTGTCCATGGGTTAACCCTGTTTTGCAAGGAGCAGTAAACAACAGAAACAAAACCTCCAAACTTAGTGAAAACAAGGCATTCAATGACAGACCAGCAGCAGAAACTCCTTATTACCTACTAATCATTTTATGAAGAAACATCTATATAAAACCCAACACTAAAGAGAACAAATAGATTTAACTAAAGTGACAAGCATAATTATAAATAAATACCAGATTACCAGATTTTAAACAATAATCTGTAAAAGTTTTACTACCTAAGGATTTTCACTCCAAGAAGAAAAAATACATAGTAACGCCAAGCTTGCAGGATGATGACTTAACAGATACATTTTCTCTTAATGGAAACTTATCTAGCTTCAGTAATATTTCTGGATGTAGCATCAAGTTGCTGTTGCACATTTTTAAAAGACTGGTCCAGCAGTGTTTCCTCTAATTTTAATTCCTCTTCTTCACTTAAAGTATTAGCAATAGCATCATTACGTGGATTGTCTAGAATGTCTTCGTTTAATCCATTTGACTCGTCCTTTTGATCTTCATCAGTATTAACCTCTTCAACCATGTGTGCCCTGGTTGCATTCATTAACATATCTGAAAAAAATCATACCATTATTATTCATTATAAGTACCTGATCCAATCTTACCACAGAAGCACAAACCTCTTCAAAAGCTTAGTTTAGTAAAATGAAATCTATGATCACTTAATGTTAATTATGATCACTTTCTTCTAAATACACTTTTTTTTTTTTTTTGAGATGGAATCTCGCTCCATCACCTTGGCTGGAGTGCAATGGAGCAATCTGGGCTTACTGCAACCTCTGCCGGGTTCAAGCGATTCTCCTGCCTCAGCTTCCCGAGTAGCTGGGATTACAGGTGCCTGCCACCACACCCGGCTAATTTTTGTATTTTTAGTAGAGACAGGGTTTCACTATGTTGGCCAGACTGGTCTTGAACTCCTGACCTCAGGTGATCCGCCCGCCTCAGGCTCCCAAAGTCCTAGGATTATAGGCATGAGCTACCATGCCTGGCCTATAAACCCATTTTTATACAACTAAGATCCATTTTAAATGCAAGAGAGGCCAGGCACAATCCCAACAATTTGGAAGGCTGAGGTGGGAGGATCACTGGAGCTCAGGAGTTCAGGACCAGCCTGGGCCACATAGTGAGACCCCATGTCAACAAAACAAAACAAAACCAAAAAAAAATTAGCTGGGTATGATGGCAAACTGTGACCGTGCCACTGTACTCCAGCCTGGGTGACAAGGTGAGACCCTGTAACAACAACAACAAAAAAAAGCAAAATGGTTTTGAATGTTATTAAATTCACACTCTTGGATCACAGTCAAATGTAACTGTTCTTATTCAAAATCAAAACTATTATTGGCCGGGCACAGTGGATCATGCCTGTAATCTCGGCACTTTGGGAGGCTGAGGCAGGCAGATCACTCAAGGTCAGGAGTTCAAGACCAGTCTGGCCAATATGATGAAACCCTGCCTCTACAAAAAATACAAAGATTAGCCAGACGTGGTGGAGCACACCTGTAATCCCAGCTACTAGGGAGGCTGAGACAGGAGAATTGCTTGAACCTGGGAGGCAGAAGTTGCAGTGAGCCGAGATCAGCAACTACACTCCAGTCTGGGCAACAGAGCGAGGCCCCATCTAAAAACAAAAATCGTAACTACTAAAAAGAGGTCCAATAAAAACCAAATGCATTTAAGTTTTATGTCAGAGTGATCCATAAGAAACTTTAAAGTACTTATTTCCATTTGGACAAATTTTAAGTTGTGTATGATAAACAGAGGTAAGCTTTAAATACCAATTGCCGGCCGGGCGCGGTGGCTCAAGCCTGTAATCCCAGCACTTTGGGAGGCCGAGACGGGCGGATCACGAGGTCAGGAGATCGCGACCAATCCCTGGCGCTAACCTGTGAAAGCCCCGTCCTAGCTAAAAAATAGCAAAAACTAGCGGGCGAGGGCGGCGGCGCCTGTAGTCCCAGCTACTCGGACGGGCTGAGGCAGGAGAATGGCGGTAAACCCGGGGAGGCGAGCTTGCAGTGACTGAGACCAGCCTCTCACCTGCCCCGCCTGGGCGAACAGAGTCAGACTCCGTCTCAAAAAAAAAATAAATAAATAAAAATAAAAAATAAAAAATACCCTTGCGGCCAGGTAATATTTGATATGACAGCAGGGAAGCCACTGCCATCAAAAAAATGCTATCTTCATATAATGTTTTACCACATTGGTAACTCAATAAAAAATCAATTATAAAGAAAAAGTAAATTGGCCTGGCGTGTGGCTCACGCCTGTATCATCCCACTTTGACGCCGAGGCAGGCGGCGAGGTCCAGGAGATCGAAGCGCATCCTGGCTAACACCGGTGGAACCCCATCTGCCACTAAAATACAAAAAATTAAGCCAGGCATGTGCGGCACTGTGTCCAACTACTCTGGAGGCTGAGGCAGAAGAATGGTGTGACGAGGAGCAGAGCTTATGTAGAGCCGAGACGTGCCACTGCACTACCATCCTGGCGACAGAGTGGAGACTCCATCCTAAAAATAAAGAAAAAAAAAATGAAATCACGGAGTGCGATGGCTCACGCCTGTAAATGCCCAGCACTTTGGTGAGCTGAGGCGGGCAGATCACACGAGGTCCAGAGTTCAATACCAAGCCTGCCAAACCATGTGAAACCCCATCTCACCTAAAAATACAAAATAGCCAGGCGTCACGGCATGCACTTGTAGTCTTAGCTACTTGGGAGGCTGAAGCAGGGGAA